ATCCCATCGATCCCATCCCAGTTTTTTATGGAAGGAGCTTTTCCCCATGTTTTTCATCCCAATTTCAATCCCTGATCCAGCAGAGCCCCGATCCCAAAATCCCAATTCCCTGGTCCCAGGAGCCCCGATCCCAAAATCCCATTTTCCCATCCCAGCAGCTCTGATCCCAAAATCGCAATCCCAAAATCCCGATCCGAAAACCCCTTTGGGGTTCCCTTTAGGATTCTCTTTGGGGTTTCCTGTGGGGTTTCTTTAGGATTTCTTTGGAATTTCCTCTGGGGTTTTTTCGGAGTTTCTTTGGGGTTTCTGCAGGATTTCTGTGGGGTTTCTGTGGGGTTTGTTTGGGGTTTCTCTGGGATTTCCTGTGGGGTTCCTGTGGGTTTTCTCTGAGGTTTCTGTGGGGTTTCTGTGGGGTTTCTTTGGGGTTCCCTTTAGGATCCCTTTAGGGTTCCCTGTGGGGTTTCTCTGGGGTTTCTGTGGGGTTTCTTTGGGGTTCCCTTTAGGATCTCTTTAGGGTTTCCTGTGGGGTTTTTTTTTGGGGTTTTTTGGGGTTTCTGTGGGTCCCTCACCTCGGCCAGCTGCAGCACCACGGTGTGGTCCATGTTGAGCTCGGCCGGCACCGACTGCACCAGGAACGTTCCCCCCACCGGGATCACCCCAAATCCGCTGCCCAAAACCTTCAGCTTCTTTATGGCACGGAGGAGATCGTCCCTGGAGAGAGAATCCCAAAAAAATCCCAAAAAAATCCCATTACCGGGAGCAGATCATCCCTAGACAGAGAATCCCAAAAAAAATCCCAAAAAAATCCCCAAAGAAATCCCATTCCTGGGAGCAGATCGTCCCTAGAGAGAGAATCCCAAAAAAAATCCCCAAAAAAATCCCATTCCTGGGAGCAGATCGTCCCTGGAGAGAGAATCCCAAAAAAAATCCCAAAAAATTCCCATTACCGGGAGCAGAGTGTCCCTGGAGAGAGAATCCCAAAAAAAATCCCCCAAAAAATCCCAAAAAAATCCCATTACCAGGAGCAGATCATCCCTGGAGAGAGAATCCCAAAAAAATCCCAAAAAAATCCCATTCCCGGGAACAGATCATCCCTGGAGAGAGAATCCCCAAAAAATCCCCCAAAATCCCAAAAAATTCTCATTGCAGCCAGGAAATTTGGGGTCTCCGATCCCAAATCTTGCCCCAAATTCTGTAGGATTTGTGGGATTCCTGCGGGATTTCCATGGGACTTCTGTAGGATTTCACTGGGATCCCTGTGGGGTTTCTGTAGGATTTCCTGTGGGATTTCTTTGGGGTTTCTTTGGGGTTTCTTTGGGATTTCTTTGGGATTTCTGTGGATTTTCTGTCAGATTTTCTGGGGGTTTCTGTGGGGTTTCTGTAGGATTTCCACGGGACTTCTGTAGGATTTCTATGGGATTTCTGTAGGATTTCTGTGAGGTTCCTATGGGGTTTCTGTAGGATTTCTGTAGGATTTCTATGGGGTTTGTGCAGGATTTCTGTGGGATTTCTGTAGGGTTTCTGTAGGATTTCTGTAGGATTTCTGTGGGGTTTCTGTGGGGTTTCTATGGGGTTTCTGTAGGATTTCTATGGGGTTTCTGTAGGATTTCTGTGGGGTTTCTGTAGGATTTCTGTGGGGTTTCTATAGGATTTCTGTAGGATTTCTGTAGGATTTCCCGGGCACTCACTGGCTGACATCCTGAGCCAATTTCCCTCTTCCCTTCAGCACCTGCTGCTGCAGCTCCTCCAGCGTGATCAGACCTGGAAAAATCCCACATAATTATCCCAGGAATGGGAAAAAAATCCCAAATCATCCCTGGGAATGGGAAAAAATCCCAAATAATTATCCCAGGAACAGAAAAAATCCCAAATCATCCCTGGGAATGGAAAAAAAGAAATCTGAAATTATCCCTGGGAATGGAAAAAAAAAATCCTAAATTATCCCAAGAAATGGAAAAAAAAATCCCAAATTATCCTCAGAATGGGAAAAAATCCCAAATTACCCTGAGGATGAGAAAAAAATCCCAAATTATCCCAGGAATGGGAAAAGATCCCAAATTATCCCTGTGGACAGGAAAAAATCCCAAATTATCTTTGGGATCCTCGGATTTGGGAATATTTGGGATCCTGGGATCAGGGAATCCTTGGGATCCTCAGCTCTGGAAAAATTTGGGATCTTTGGATCCAGCAATTTTTGGGATCCTCAGATTTGGGAATCTTTGGGATCCTCAGATCCAGGGGTTGGAAATCTTTGGGATCCCGGGATCTGGGAATCTTTGGGATCTGGAAAAATTTGGGATCTTTGGATCCAGGAATTTTTGGGATCCTGGGCTCCAGGAATCTTTGGGATCTGGGAATCTTTGGGATCTTTGGAGCTGGAAATCTTTGGGATTCCTGTGGCTCTGGGAATCTTTGGGGTGCTCAGATCTGGGAAATTTTGGGATTTGGGAAATTTTGGGATTTGGGAATGTTTGGGATTTGGGAATGTTTGGGACTCACCTCCGTTGCGGTGCTTTAGGGCCAGGCACACCTCGATGATCTGCACCCCGAGCTCGTAGTAAAAATCCCCAAATCCCAAAAGCTCCGACCAAAACCCTTTACCGGCTGTGAGGGGACAGGAAATGGGGTCAGATATGGGATATGGGGTCAGATATGGGATATGGGGAAATGGATATGGGATATGGAAATGGGGTCGGGATACGGAAATGGGGTCAGGATATGGGAATGGGACAGGAAATGGGGTCAGATATGGGAATGGGGTCAGGATATGGGGAAACGGATTTGGGATATGGGGAAAAGCCTTTCCACTCAGAAACCCCACTGTGGGTCTGCGTTTTGGGGTTTTCCAGGACCCCAAATCCCCGCAAAGCCCCGATCCCAAACCCGTGCGAGGAGCTGACTCCAGAGCCCAGGACGGCCTCGACCCCAAACCCCAGACAGAGCTGACCCCAAATCCCTGACCCCAAACCCTCAGTAAGGGTGGGACAGCCCCGACCCCAAACCCCAAATGGAGCTGACCCCAAACCTCAGATGGCCCTGACCCCAACACCGGGAGGGGTGGGACAGCCCTGACCCCAAATCCCTGACCCCAAACCCGACCCCAAATCCCCGGGGCAGCCCTGACCCCAAACCCCAGATGTCTCCAACCCCAAATCCCTGATCCCAAACCCAAGAAGGGTGAGACAGCCCCGACCCCAAATCCCCGACCCCAAATGCCAAGCCCGTGACCCCAAACCCTAAAGCCTGACTCCAAACCCCAAACGCCTGAATGGCCCTGACCCCAATCTCAAATCCCTGATCCCAAACCCCAAACTCTGACCCCAATCCCTGATCCCTGACCCCAAACACCAAACCCTGGCCCCAAACCCTGATCCCTGATCCCAATCCCCGATCCCAAATCCCAAACCCTGACCCAAAACCCTGCTCACAGGCGAGGGGATCCGATGGTGGCGCACATGTCCTGGAAGTGCACGCAGAACTTGGGGCTCTGGCGGATCCCAAACTGTGACCCCAATCCCAAACCCTGACCCCAATCCCGATCCCGATCCCAAATCGTGCTCACATGCCAGCGGATCCACGCCGATGATGGCGCACACGTCCTGGAAGTGCACGCGGAACTCGGGGCTGCGGCGGATCCCAAACCCAAACCCTGATCCTTGACCCCAATCCCAAACCCCTGACCCCAATCCCGATCCCAAATCCTGCTCACATGCCAGCGGGTCCACGCCGATGGTGGCGCACATGTCCTGGAAGTGCACGCGGAACTCGGGGCTGCGGCGGATCCCAAACCCCAATCCCTGACCCCAAACTGTGACCCCTGACCCCAAACCCCAAACTGTGACCCCAATCCCAAACCCCACAATGCTCACATGCCAGCGGGTCCACGCCGATGGTGGCGCACATGTCCTGGAAGTGCACGCGGAACTCGGGGCTGCGGCGGATCCCAAACCCCAAACCCCGATCCCTGACCCTGATCCCTGACCCCAAACCCCAATCCCTGACCCCAAATCCCAAACCCCAAACCCCCCAATGCTCACATGCCAGCGGGTCCACGCCGATGGTGGCGCACATGTCCTGGAAGTGCACGCGGAACTCGGGGCTGCGGCGGATCCCGTGTTTGTGTTTGGCCGCGAACGCCTCCAGGTGAGTGCGGAACGTGGCCAATTGCTGGGACATCTGCAACCAAACTGGGGTGGACTGGGGGCACTG